CCACTTGACGAGCCATCAGAAATGCAACGCGCATGCAACTGAATCACTGAATTGGCGCCGCACTGCGACAACCCCACAGCGACGCGCCAAACGCCAGCCGCCGACAATTGACTTGCTGATGCTAACGGTTTTCAACATGCATATTTGCCTTCAAACTATTGTTCAATGTATCGTTATGTACCTCTGCAGCAGTGATAGCAGATAGCTTTCAATGCCAAGCATTTGCTCCCCTCTCTCCTTTTCTTGGTTGCATACAAGTTGCGATTGTTTTGACAACATTGTGACATTTGAGGTTTGCTGAGGTTTCTCTGTTGGCGTGTTGCTAGTCGTAAATCATCACCATTACCAGTGTTGCCGTTTTAGCCCTTTGGTGGCTAGATTTAGCTACAACATACTTTTTTTGGCCACAGAAATTTAAAATTGCCCTTAGCCCTTTTTTTAGCCCTTTGGAGAATTTATTCATACTTGGCATGAAAAAGTTTTATATGCTTAATTTGATATAATTTTTTTTATCTATGTAAGAGATGAATTTTTAAACTAAGAAAGACTGATATACATATATGTATTGTATGTTCCTTACGGTTTAATGCTACTATAGTTCAAAATAGATAAGTTTACGGCCCTTAATATGCTTTATTTGTTAAATGGCCCATCAAGTCGATTGGCCGTGTATATTTTTGTGGTGTGATTGCACCAGCTGCTGGTGCGACTTCAAAAACCATTTGAAAATTTTATGATTGTACCAGCATGCTGGTGTCGTGAGTTGTGAAATTAGCTAAATTTTCTAAGTATTTTGGCGGAAATTTCTTACCCTATATGGGTCAAAGCCATGTTTGTGGAAGAATAAGTTCACGATATTGCAGTTGTGAATTTCAAAAAAAAACAATGTTTAAAAATATGGTAGAAAATTTATGAAATTTCGGCTCTAATCATTTCGATCATTCCTCGACCTCATTTGTAAAGAAATAAATATTGTACCAGCATGCTGGTAAGTTATATGCTTCGAGCCTGATGGTACAATCACTTGATGAAGCCAGCAAGCTGGTACGTATATTTCCCCTTTTATACAAAAAGGTTTTTGGTTGGATAAAATATTAGCTTTTTTTGCAGACTTCATTGTTTTTCTATACCATTACTTATTGAAAATGTTTGCGTGTATACTAATATATTTATATGTATGTAAGTAAAAAATTTAGCTACCATTTTTAGCCACAACGACTTTTTTTAGCTCTCTTTTAGCCCTTTTTTTAACGGAATTTGACTACCGCTAAAAATGATTCGCGGCAACACTGACCATTACCTGTGACTATGACAGCACCCACAAGCTTGCGCGCTGATGAGTCAATGAGCCGCAGCCGAAGCTATCAGCTGCAAGCGCAAAACATAATAATAAAACATATGGTAAGCGCAAGAACGCAGCGGGGCGGTGGAATACGTACATACATACGTATATTGAAAGGCCTTCGTTCTAATGGTGTTGGCATATGTTCATTATATTATAGAAACTAAATATGTATGTAATAAATAGTAGCAGGCCCTTGTAACCCGGGAATTCGTCTGCGATGTTACGGAAAATTATTTCCACTCACAATTATTTAGTAAAAAAAAAGTAATTCGCACAGTAAATATTTTTGAAAATTGTTCGAAGACATCGCCGAATAGTTGAAGTTAAGGATTCCCTACCTAAAACCCCTAATACGTAGTAAAAAACGACATTAAAGCAAATTTGAGGTTAATTAGGTACGTTCGTTTAAAGTATTCAGTAAAAAACATCCAACAGCAAAATTCCTGCGAAATGTCATCTGTTCTCTCATAAGAGAAAAATATCCAGAATAGTACGCGAACAGAAAATTTGCAGAGACATACAAGTTAGACGAACAGCTGATAGAATTTTTGTTTATACTCAAACGTGTAAAATTTAAAACGTACGAAAACTCACCACAAAGTGTTATCCTGACACAGTTCATTAATTAAATGAATAACTTCTTAGTTCTTACAAGTTAAATGAGTCGCATTTTGTAATTTTTAATTTCCAAACCACAAAATTCAATGTTATAATTTGCGTAAATTCTTACCAACTGTTTTTGATCAGCTGTTTTCCTGTTGGCAAATTGCTGTTGTCAAAAATTTTTCCAGCAGAAACTAAAAGCTTCCCCTCAAAATGAAATGTCACTTTGCACTCTCATCTTCCCCTGCTTTACAAGTTGTTTGCGTTCGCGAACTAAAAAAACTGATCGTTTTTGATAACTTTAAATAATTAACAGGTACGTTAACGCAACTATTGTAAAGTACTTATAAGTACTTATGTACATATGGTCGGTAATTTGACTTGCATGGTCAAATCTATATTTCTGTAAAAAAAAGGATGGCAAACAAATTACCATCGAAAGGCTTAGAGTAAAACTTTTTCTTCATTGTCTTTAAAACCCACCGCTAAAAGGGATATGGTTTCGACGTTGAGTCATAAACCATTTAGTATAGAGGGCCTGCTCCATTCTAGGAAATTCACTTTCCTTTAGAGACTTACGTAATGATTTCGTTCGATGCGTTTCTCGAACGTATTCCTCGTTTTTAAATTTCATTTCTTTTTAACCGACTTCAAAAAAGGACAAGGTTATCAATTCGTCGGAATATTTTTTTTATGTATGCTACCGCATAACTTTACACCGCGTTAAACGATATCTATAATTCTAGTTTTCGAGCAACTTAGGTTTAAAATTGCTGAAAAGCGTGTTTTTGGTCATTTTTGAACCTCTGTAAAACAATAAATTGATGCAATATATTTGTCTGTCTGGGACGATATGAAAGCTCAAACACTGCCCTTTAATACTGAAAATCAAAAAATTAAGGTTCGATCACTGTAAGCAATTGAGAACAAGCGTGCCTTTTTGTTTTTACAAAAAATTTCTTTTACCCCTTTTTGGTCGCTTGTTTTAAATGAATCTGAAGCGCTGGATATTTATAAATAATAATAATAAATATATTTTTTTACGTTACAAACTTATCATTTACTAGATCGCCCTCACCCGCTTCGCTGAGTGTATGAAATTTCTACGTGCTACATTGAGTAAAATTTATTTCAAGAAAACTCAATTAAAAAACAGAAGGTTTAAAATTTGTTTAACCATCTTCAAAATAATTTCAAACTACATAAAACTTTCTTTCTAAATTATCATACTTTTTTAGTTAACTTATCCCCTGAACTCAATTTGAGATGTTAAATAGATGCGGACCCCTTACATGTAGTTTTGATACCCATATTGTAATAATTCATTTAAATTATTAATAGTTTGAATTTAACCTTTTAAACAGTTGGCAACATTTTGAAACCTGTTTCGTGTGACACTCATACATATTGTGATACATATTCAAAACCATTTCGATTCATACCAATCTATGCTAATATATATTTTGAAAGCCGTTTTTTTGTGTTCGCAAAGCTCGAGAACGGCCGAACCGATTTTTTTGAAATTTCAGACACCGGCTTCAGACGTCTCAGTGATGGTTATAGGCTAAATTAATGATTATAAGCTATTTTTTAAATTTGGCTATGTATATTGGGTTTCTGTAGAGCAATTATACGCATCCATTTTGAAGTTGCCACCAACTATACTAAAAGTTTCTGCAGCTTTACAGCTTTTTTAAGGCTCTTAACATCATTTTTTTAATATCTATAATTTTCAAATAAAGAACCCCCTTAATTGAAGTTGAATTAGATTTTTTTTTTTAAAGGTGGCAGCCCTCATCCATGAGTAGATAATGATTTTATATACATATCTCCATACCAAGTTCCAATAATCTTCCAAAAATATTTCCTAAGGAATGCAGTATGAAAAATTCCGATTGTATGGGACGTGCCTGCCCCTCGTCTAATCGAGATTAAATGTATCCTATATTTTAAGTTCGGCTAAGGGACAGGAGTGTACAAAATTTTATAATGATCGGTTGGGTAGTTAAAGCGTGAAATCGTAGCAAACAAACAAACTCACTTTCAGATTTATAATATTAGTAAGAATTTGGGTTTTCTTATAAATATCAGCTGGAGGCGAGAATCTCATCGTTACCATCCAGATTTATTTTGCTACATTTTGGTGAATATATTTACTCCTGAGAACCAAAGACATACATACCTTGCTTACTTTGGTTTCGCGACAGAAAATCAGCACAAATTTGGGGCACTTAGAAAGGTTTGTCGAATATGTGTCGAGTCTTTGCGGCATTGGGTTAAAGGCGATAGAAGTGACTTAAAGTTTTATGTGTTTATGGTTTGGATGGAACCAAAAAATGACTTTAACGACTGTTTTTTTTGTGTGGTAAATTTTAAAGAAATTAACAACTATAAAAGATGGTCATGGGAATATCCGAACATGGAGTCGGCAAGACGGCCTTTATCCACATACTACAGAAATTCCTGTACCAATATTTGAAGTACAACTCGAGGTTTCATTCATTAATCACAAAATACCGATGGCCACTGACTCTAGCTGTGGAAATGAAAGTGATGAGGAAGATACTTTTAAACTCGAATTGCTAGAAAACTAGAGCCAATAGAAAATTTTCAAGATCAGATCCGAGCTCTAGCGGAAAATCCTATAAGGATCGGCTGTAATATTTTAGTCAACATAAACTTTGTTGGTCTGTATTATGTTCTCTTAGATGAAGTTTTGAGCTTCAATTTCTGCCTCTTTAGAAATTGCCAGCGCCTCAGGTTCATTTAACACAAGTGATCAAAAACGGGAAAGTTGCTTTCAGTGATCGGACCATAATTTTTTGATTTTAAATCTTAAAAAGGTCAGTATTTAGGCTTTCATATCCTCCCACACAGAAAATATATTATTTTACAGAGGTTCAAAAATGACCAAAAACGCGGCACCTTTAAACCTAAGTTGATCGAAAACTA